GATCATTCACATGAACTTATAGGCCCATTGTCTGCCAACCCTATATATGATCTTGGATACACTCTCCATTTAGACATACCTAATTGTTTAGCTTGGCTAGAACACCTTTTAAAAGGAAGTCATTTAATTTTCTTCCCTGGTTTTCTATGGAATGAGTGTGTGGAGCTCTGAGGCTCCGTGTTCTGGAGCAGATCTCTTCTTTTCTCCTTATGTCTGTGATAAGATTCTGAGATTCTTTTTGAAAGGGTGGTGTCTGTATCCTAGATTGCCATAACAAAATAAAGTGGGTGGCTTTAAAGAACAGAAATTTATTTTTTCACAGTCTGGAGGTAGATGTCTGAATTGAGGGTGTGGGAAGGCTATGCTCTCTGCTCAGGGGAAGATCCCTCCTCTCTTTTTCAGATTCTGGTAGCCCCTTGCATTTTTTTTTTTTTTTTGCTCATAGATACTCCTTTGTCTGTTCTGCCCTAAAACACCACCCAGAAGGGATTAGCACTAGGACCCACTCTACTCCAGTCTAACCACCTTTAATTTGCTAACAAAAGAAAACCCCTATTTCCAAACAAATCACACTCCTAGATACAGAAGTTAGGGTTTTAATATCTTTTTTTGGGGGATACAATTCAATCCATGATAGGTGTGAGGACATTTACTTACATCCATTTTTGCCCACTGTCTCTCTGCAAATTTCAAATTTGACAAAAAAAAAAAAACAAACCACCACTGCTGTCGAGTTGGATCCAACTCATAGCAAGCCCTCGTTGGGCTTCTGAGGCGGTATCACTACGGAAGTAGATTGCCCAATCTTCCTTCCGAGGAGTGGCTGGTGGGTTTGAACTGCCAGCCTTCTGATTAGCAGTCAAGTGCCTTAGGCACTACACCGCCAGAGCTCAAACAGTCAATATCCAGAAACCTATAAACAGCCCATTTTCACCATCTTCAAACTAAAATCCCTTTATATTATTAACAGGTAACTGTAATTTTAGTAAATCAATGTGCTAATAGGAGCTTATCCTTTTGGAAAATTGTTTCCTTAACCTAATTGGTGGTTACATTAATAAAACCCAACCAGTTATTATAGCTGAGTTAGCTGAGGTGAACATGTGGTAAAATAACTGGGGTTGAAAACAAGTATGGAAATGGAAATAATACCAGTTCCAAATTTTTAAAAGTTATAAACTTGGGAGATCTATTCCTTTCCCAGTTTAACAGAAATTTCCTTTTGATAAATTCTCTCAGATTTACTTTATTATTAGCAACTAAATGATTGCTTATTTAAGTAAATTTGGAAAAGTAGCCAGCTGAAATTTTTTTTTGCAATTTAATTTTTCTAGTGACATTGAACTTGGAATGTTTTATCTACGTGGTCAATTGAAAGTGATGTGAAAAACGCTGCTGGATTATATGGACAATCTGAGACAATTATGTCTGTTACGAAAGTTTAAATCATTTTTGTGGTGAAAGTTTATTTTTTAAAATTCGTATTATTTGCCTTCTTATTTTGATTATATCTAGTATAGGAACTTTAAGAGAAGGCGTATATGTGTGTGGAATCCTAGATTCTGTATATGCTAAAGACACAGACATAGATTAATGAGTTTGTTGGCTTTTGCTAGAACTAAAGCAAAAACCTGTTATTTAACAAAATAGATACTACAGATGGATAGTGGTACTATTTTTTATTGTGGGAGATGATAAATACCATGTGCCCATTGACCAACTTCAACAATATTCACTCCAGCTTTCTCTTCCACTGGATTAATTTGAAGTATATGACAGATACCGTAATTTCATCCTTTATATACGTCAGAATGTGTCTCCAAAAGGTAAGGTCTCTTTAAAAATACATATATAATGTAATTTAAAAATACAATTTTATTATATTGCCATAGTACCATTATCATATAGTGGTACTGTTTGCCTCTTGAATACTGGTTGCTCATTTCTCATAGTTTGGCTCTTTGTAATAGTGGTCTTAGGTATTTCTCATAGGCAGAGTTCCCCTGTTTGTAGAAAGAAATATATTATTAAGATTCTGTGAGGATTAAGCAGAAATACTCAAATTAAGTCTTTAGCTTCAAAAAAGTAACATTACATAACATTCTTAATTTTTAGAATTATTTTTAAAATTCATTTTGTGTGAACATATGGAGAACATTTTTTCCAAAGGGCATCATTCTTTTTCTCATGCAGATTTTAAATTGTGGCTGCAGGTGGCCAATAATAAAACAAAAAACACAGTGTATCATTTACTTTGACCATTGGGGCAGTTCTACTGTGTCCTATAGGGTCACTATGAGTCCAAATTCAATTAGATGGCAATGGGTTTTAGAATTTAATATGAATTTAATATGAATAAGAGGCTTGACTCTTTGAGAACCTTTGAAATTGAACATTAACCACAAAGACAAGAACCCAAAGGATAGAATCAGGTAACCAATATTCTATGTCAGAACAGGTTATCCTCATTATTCTCTACTGCAGTATCTTGATTCTTTATTCCATAGCTCTACCTTCATTTTTTATAGTATGAATTTAATGTTTGCTCATCTAATCCACTAAAGCTGTAAACTCCTTGATATCAGGGTCTCCATGACTTTTGTTCTTCATTGTATCCAAAGTACCTAAAACACTTCCTGGCATATAGCATGTGCTTGATAAATATTTGTTGAATGAATGAATCAGTAGATTCAGTACTTAGATAAGTACTGAATTATCAGATTACTTAGATAAGTACTGAGATTTGTAGTTAGCACTTAGATACATTTATTCAATAGGATAATTGGGGAGACACAGGGTTCTTATTTGAAGTTATCCCCGGTGGTTCCTCTGCTGCTTGCATCTCTAAGGATCACTTAGATGTGAGTTCACATAGGGAGAGGGAAGAGCCTTTTGCAGTTCACTTTGGAGAAAATGGCTTGAAATAGCATTCAGAACAGGAAAAAAGCCAAAAAGCAGACCTTAGGCTAGAGTAAGCTGAGAGAGAAGTTTATCTTATCTGGAGATAAAGCTCAACACTTAACCTGTCCCAGACAAAGGAGACTCTCCAATGATTTTAAGACATTTAACTTAGCATAGCACTTTTCTTTTTGCAGAAAGTATTAGTGAAATGTATTCCCAAGTATATATTACAAGGTATGTTTTAACACAGCTGTTTTAATTTATTTGAAATACCTATAGTGTGCCTTTTTCTACTAGTATAAATGAAGAAAAATGTCTGAATGTAGCTTCAAAATTATCTACAGCACGTTAGAAAAATAAACTTTAAAAGTGCTTTTTGGAGGTCTCTCAAGATGCTACAAATGTGTTCAAAGATCATATGGCTATATATTAGCACTCAACTGAGTGTCATTTTAACCAACTAGAAACAGTTCTCCAAGGTCATTTGTAATCTCAAATTCTTAAATTGCTGTGTATGAAAGCCACATTGCTGTACCTATCACTTTTTTTATCAAGGTAATGTAAGTAAGCTAAAGGAGCCCTGGTGGTGTAATACTTAGACCTTCAGCTGTTAACTGAAAAGCTGGCGATTCAGATCCACCCAGTGAGTGGCTCCACAGGGAGAAAGACCTGGTAATCTGCTTCCATAAAGATTACAGCCAAGAAAACCATTCAGGCAATTCTACTCTCACATGGGGTTGCTATGAGTCACAGCAGATTCAACAACAATGTAAGTAAGCTAGCTAGCACTATGAGAATCTGCAGTATTTTGTATGCAGCAGGTTCCTTCATCTCACTGGGTAGGTCATAAAACCATGTTCAATTATCCCATAAAACCAAACCAAACTCACTGCCATTGAGTCGATTCCTCCTTTGGGTTTCCGAGGCAGTAAATCTTTATGGAAGCAGATTGCCAAATCTTCCTTCTGTGGAGTAGGCTGGTGGGTTTGAACTGCCAATCTTCTGGTTAACAGTCAAATGCCTTAGGCACTGCACTACCAGAGCTCCCTAATTATCCCATAAACACGGAGATTAGCAACCAAGTGCTTTAACTACTGTGCCACCAGAGCTCTTTTGTTCTCAGATAGTAGAGATTAAATTATTTTAACATGAAGATTACAAATGAAGCAAAAGATGAAAGATTCCCCTATATTCTTTAGAGGAGATGAATCAGGAGAACTGGAATGTGCCTTTGTGTTGCCAGTAAAACAGGCTTGACCTGTATGTTTCAGTATTTCCTGACAGGTGTTTCTGCAGAATGGGTACTTCTCTCAGGAGCAGCAAAGGGCATACATTGATCTTTAGACCACGGGAGCTAATCTAGAGGATTTCTGTATTTTTATGCCAGGATTTAAATGTTAGAATTATGTAATCATTAATAAAGTAATGTACCAGAAAGATCTTAAACTATACTAAGCAGTAAAATTGTCAAGCCTTCTTCAGGTAAATTACTTATATTTTCTTGTTGAGCTAAAATGGTGCCTTTTAGGGAATGATGAATGACCAAAATGTATTGGTCTTCTACCTGATAACTGTCTTGGGAGTAACTGGTTGTATTATAAGTTTAGGTAATCATGTTAAGTTGTAAGATATGACAGGATACAAATTGTTAAGAGCAAGTCTAACACCATGCTCAGTGTGAAGGAAAGCTTGAGAGTTGCCAATTTGATGAGGCGTTAAGACACCTTTTCTGAGATTTGACTGAAGAGGTGAAGGAGTAAGTTTTACCATATGATTAGCATATTTGCATTGTAGAACTTAAAATAACCTATTGTGCCTTTATTTTGATTATCTATATCACATTTGCTATTAAATATTCAAAATTCTAAGTACTCATTATTTCTTCACTCCAGTTAATGTATTCATTCACATTTGTCACTTTTCCCAATGAAGCTCACAGCAGAGAGCCTGGGACACTGGTCCCAAACTGTGGGGATTTTATGAGCTCCCCTCATCCCAACTTCTCTCTATAAATGACAGGCTTCTAGTATTTTGTCCCAGACAGTTGGAGACCTTTTCACCACAACTCTTGTACTGTCATTTATATAGCTTTCCTGGGCTACTGGTGGCAGTGTAGCAACCTTTGTTACTGGCATTGTGCTCCTTAGAGTGAAGAGGAAGGAGGTCTCTAGCCAGCAGTCAGGGCTGAGAGAGACACAGACTCCCACTCAGTCTCCCACCCCCAAGCATCCTAACACTTGTGAATACCCACTTTATCTACACAAAGCTAAAAGTTAAAAGGCTGAAAATGAGATAGTTAAACCACCACAGTGATTTATCTTCTTATTTTTGTTACTTAAAAGCTAGTTTGCCACTATGTGTGTATGCCCTTGGGTATGTCAAGCCATGATTTAGAGCTTGGGTCTTTCTCCTAATTCCCTTTACCAAGTTCCAAGCAGTGCATCTTGCTGATTGTAGTCAGGCTCAGCTCCAGCCAAGCCACATCCCCATTCCTGGTTTCTTTTATGATGTTTTCTCTAACAATATTTTAAATAGACATGCTTTGCCAAGTGATTCTGAACCTAATGGAAATCAATTAAAATAGAAAACATAGAGGTGTGTTCACTGCTTGTTCTTTGCTCCCTTTACATAATTTATAATGAGTTGCACTCAATTACCTTAGTATTGATCGGTGACCTCTGAGCCCACTCGAACAGACGTTCATAGGCATTTCCATCATAACAGCCAAGTGCTGAATATAAACAATGATCAGTGAAGTCGAAAGCATCAGTTAACAAGATGGCATCCTTCCTGAAAAAAAAAAGATTTTGTGAGCGTTTTAGATTCCTATTATGGCTCTAATCAATCTGCAATGGTGAATAATAATATGTAACTGGAGATTGTATCATTACTCACTTTTCCAGCCATTTAAGCTTTATTTATTTTTGTTTTTATTATTTTATCAGTTATATATGTACAGTGGCATAGTGGATAAGCCATCTGACTGCTAATCAGAAGGTTAGCAGTTCAAACCCAGCAGCTGTTCTGTGGAAGGAAGACAGGGTGATCTACTTCTGTAAAGATTTATAACCTCAGAAACCCAAGGGGGTCACTATGAGCTGGAATCGACTTGATGGCAGCCAGTTTTGGCTTGGTTTATATAATATGTATACTATAAAGAATCAAATTGTTCTCACCAAAAACAAACCAAACTCACTGCCATTGAGTCAGTTCTGACTCATAGTGACCCCCATTGGGTTTCCAAGGCTGTAAATCTTTACAGTAGCAGACCGCTTCATCTTTCTTGTGCGGAGGAGCTAGTGGACTTGAATGCCAACCTTTTGGTTAACAGCCAAATGGCTTAACCATTGCACCACCAGAGCTCCTTAAATAGTTCTCTAAGGCTTGTTATTTTAAAAACAGCATATCCTTGTCTCTCATCTCCATTTTCCTCTTCCCAGAGGCTATCAGTTTCAGTCTTTCAGCTGGTATTTTTCATATTTACCTGAATGTCTAAATATCTGGTTTGTATTTCTATTTCTTGATTGTTTTAGGTATTATCTATTAACTTTCCAGTGCAAAAGACAAGGATTGACTTTTCTTTTAGGGATCTCCACCTACACACTTCTTCCCCTTGGCCTCCCTGCCTCCCAAAATAGTTATACTTTTGACTAGACCAATATTTAGTGTTTCCATTATTATAACCATATGTATCCTGTTCACATCGGAGTCTCATCCCTAACACATCTGTCCTGTTGTAGTTATCTCCCCACCTCCAGGCTCACTGTTTCTCTCTCCACCACTACTCCTGTCATAATTTATAGTGATTTCACTGTCCCTATGTAAAACTTGGGAGCTCTGGTAGCATAGTGGCTAAGACACTTGCCTGCTAACCAGATGGCTGGCGGTTCAAACCCACCAGCCACTCCTCGGAAGGAAGGTTGGGCAATCCTACTTCCGTAGTGATACTGCCTCGGAAACCCAAGGAGGGGTCACTATGAGTCGGGGCCGACTCGACGGCACATAACAACAACAACAACATGTAGAACTTGGGATGCACCATCTAAAACTTGGCCTCTTAGTTCCTTGAATCTTCTCTCCCATTGATTTCATCTTACACCCTCCCTGTATCACTCATTGTCAAGATCACACACTAAGTCTTGTCAACAACACCTGCAACTTCTCCATAATCTCACCCTTGCTCTTTTCATTGCCTCTTGTCTTTATAGCAAGGGGCTCTGGTAGCACAGTACCTAAAGCATCTGACTGCTAACCAGAAGGTTGGTGGTTCAAACCCACCACCCACTCCGTGGAAGCAAGACTGGGCAGTCTACTTCTGTAAAGATTTATTGCCTCGGAAACAATGGGGGTCACTATGAGTTGGAATCAACTTGATGGCAGTGGGTTTGATTTTGGTTTTTTTTTTGGTATCTTTCTAGCAGAAGGAGCCCTGGTGGCACAGTGGTTAAGTGCTTTCCTGTTAATCATATGTTGGTGGTTCAAACCCACCGACCACTACATAGGAGAAAGGTGTGGCAGTTTGCTTCCATAAAGATTACAGTCTTGGAAACCATACGGGGCAGTTCCGTTCTCTTCTGTAGGATCGCTGTGAGTCAGAATTGACTTGATGGTGAGTTTTATTTTAATATTTCTAGCTTATTGCTCTAGTATGCTGACTTATATAATTCTTTTTTTCTCCTTCAAGCAACAAACTTTTATTTTAATCTATTGAATAAAATATTTTAAAAATTGTTTACATGGTTCCTTTTCTTCTTTAGCAAAGGATATAAAACAAAACATTTATACTCTTCCTAACACTTGTTTGACAAAGCATTTGAGATGACTGGGATACTGGACCTAATTTTACTCTTTCTGAATGACCCTTAATCATCATTCTGAGGTGATCTGCTTCTAGGGCTATTTATACTTTGACACCACTGGCACTACCACCTATTTTAATGTCCCTCATCCCACTTGTGTTCTCACTTCTATCCTTATCCTGCTGAAAACTCCATGGTCCATTATATTCACTCCCTCAGAAATACATTCAACAACTTTTTTTTTGCCTTATACAAACATGCTGTCATTTCTCACATCTTAAAAACAAGCTTGTGACTCTGTTTCCCTCTCCATCATCTGCCCCATGTCTTGGCTCCCCTTTATGACAGAACTCCTTGTTGCTTTTGCTTATTTCCAATTCTTCTCCTCTCATTCTAGTTCCTCTCATGAAAAGGATCTGTTCAGGTTTTCACCCCCACTACTCCAGTAAAATAGCTCTTGTCATGGTTACCTCCTCAACTTCCCAACCTCTGGACTTGGGATGGTTCCAAGATGCAGTTCTTGGACCTTTTCTCTTGATGCATTCACTTCTTGTGATACCTAAATTTGCGGCTTTAAATACCAACCATATGTCAATGACTTCCAAATTTGTCTCTCCAGTCTCACTTATCTGCTTACTTGACATCTGTACTAAGATTTCTAACAAGGTCTTCAAACTTGACTTGTCCAAAACCAAGCTCCAGATCTTCTAGGCCTTCCCCTGCCCATCTTGTTGTTGTTGTAATCTTCCCCATTTATAGTAAATGCCACTTCTGCTCTTCTAGCTAAAAACCTTGACTTTTCTTTTTTTCACACTCCACTTCTCATCTGTCAGCAAATCCTGTGCTGCCTTCAGAATACATCCAAACTTCCCACGACCTCCAGTGGTATCATCCTGGTCCAGTCCATCATCATTTCTCACTTGGATGACTAGTAGCCTCTTAATTGATCTCCCTGCTTTTCACTCTTGCCCCTCCTCCCCAGTTTATTGTTAATAAGACAACTGGAGTAGTCCTGTCAAAACACACCAAAATACACAGGACAGATTGTGTCTGTCTTATGCTCAAGACCTTCCCATTCCCACACAAAGAAAAGCCAAAGTCTTAAGTCTTTGTAATGATTACTCATTCCCCCAACTCTAATCTCTGCTCTCATTTTGTACCTTAGTCACCCTACTGCAGCCTTCTGTCCTCAGACATGCCAAGCACACTGCGGCCTCCAACGTTTGTACTTACTCTCTGCTTGAAATATTCTTTTCCTAGCCAGCTACATGTGACTCCTTCACCTCTTTCTGGTCTTTCCTCAAAGGTCACCTTCCCAGGCAGGCCTTCCTTGACCTATCCAGAATAGTAGCCCCAACCCTACCTCGACCATAGCATTCCTTATCTCTGCTATCCTTTTCTCCATTGCACTTACCAACATTTCACATACTGTATGTTTGACTTATTTTGTGTCTATGTGTCTGTCTTTTCTCTAGTGTGTAAGCATTTGTAATCTTTGCAAACTGAACTCATGTCCTTTATTTTAGATATATTTTCTTGAGCTACTTTATTATTAGTATTATTAAGGGTCTGCTACCCTCTGCTTGCACTGTCTTCTTTCTAGACCAGACTAGACCAGTTGCTGCCCAATCGACTGTGACTCGTGGTGACCTCATGTATGTTAGAGTCAGCTGTGCTCCAAAGGATTTTCAAAGACTGAGTTTTAGGAAGTAGATGGCAGAGCTTTCTTCTGAGGCACCTCTGGGTAGGCTCAAACCTCTAACCTTTCAGTTAGCAGCCAACACATTAACCATTGGTACCACTCAGGAGCTTCCCTTATCTTTCTAGACCTCCTGGTTTTTAGATGATGGACAGCTAGGACTTACCCTCTTTTTTTTTTTTTTCTTTTTCTACTTTCATCTCTTTCTGTGAGATTTCTGTAACTTTATTTTCCAACCTACAGTTGCGTTTTTCATATCTACAGTCATTTTTAAAATTTCTGAGCATTCTGGCTTGATTTTATGGTTGCAGTAGCTCCTTTTAATTATTTGAGGATATGACTGATTTTTTTTTTTTTTTTTTTTCACATTTTCTTGTCCCTGCAGCATCTCTGTTTCCTCCAGGTTGTGTTGTTCCTGCTTGTTCTGGTCTTTGTCTTTTATGCTGGGGGCTTTCCTCAGCTAACAGTGGGACATTACCCAGCTAGCTTGAAGCCTGTGGATGTGCTTGTCAATGTGGGGTGGACCGTTGCAGGGAACTTGGTGTCAGTGTCTTTAATTTTTTTTGGATTAGTCTGATTCTTCAGCGAAGGATCATTGGATCTTCCTGCAGGTACTAGCCTGGCTGAAGGAAGTAGCCAGGGAAACAGTGGGAGCAGGGCTGGGGGAAGGGGGTAGATGTGAGCATATGGCCTATAAACGTTTATTCAAGCCCCCTCATCCTCAGGTATGCTTGATGTTCCCCAGCCCAGAGACCTTCTGTTTACCCTTCTGCCAGGGTGTGGTTGGAGAAAGCCTTAAAACTATTCACAAATGGGAAGGGGAAGTAGGGAATCCAACTCCTTAAATAGACTCTCAACCAAATCTTGTCAGCCTTGCCTTTACCCCCATTTCCCATGGCTCACAGTGCTGTCTGTTGGGTGGGTCTGTGGGGTTACTTGGTTGGTTCTTGGCTTTTTCTACTTCTAGTTTAAGATTTCTTTTTCTTAGGTCTGCTAAGTCACTCCATATCAGTCATTCTCACTTTCATGTTTCCCTTCCTGTTTTGTATTTCTTTGTGGGTTCATGCCTTTTCAAAAAATTTAATCCAACTGCTGCTGTTTCATTTGGGCTTCCAGAGGGAACAGAAGTAAGTATGTATGTTCAACCTGCCATCTTTATCTGAAAATCCCCAACTGAGATTTTATGACCATTTAAATAATATAAAAATCACTTGGGTCAGTTTGTTAACATTAGAGAGCTGGTTCTTGGTGTCCCTTAGAATACTGTGCTGTCCTTCATTTGACATCCCAGAAATCTGATGGGATAATGAATAATCAAGACAGGGAGCTGTGACAAAAGCAGTGAAAGCATGGAGTCCATTGCTTGCTCCCCTGCAGTGTAAAAAGGTTATGTAGAAGCCATAATGGAAGTCAAATCAGTCTGTGGGTTTGATGCATGTGTCAGTTGTCCACATGCATTAATTGTGTCTGTCTTGTCTTGAATTGTGAGTCTCTGGAGCCAAGACAGGTTAGAAGTACTGTCGCTGATGAAAGAAACATGCCTGTGGGGTATTAAGGTGATCATGTGTGTCTCATCATCACTGTTAGTCAGAACCAGGAGAACATTATTTTCTTCATGTGCTTTTAACTGCCAAGTGGTTCAGAAAGTCAGCCCCATTTGAGCTTGAATTGTGTAATACTAAAGGATGCTATTAATCATTTCCATTACTGCATTCTCTATATCAGGGAAAATTTAATGCCAGGAGTATTGTACCAAGTGTATTTTTGACAATTTTTGATGATTTAATGGAGCAAACATTCACTGATAAATACCAACTGTCTGTTAGGTGCTTATGTATAGTCATAAATGGTATGTAACTTGAGAGCTCCATCATGAAAAACTTACTTTTTAAAAATTTCCAATCTTTCCCTTTTTATTCTCTTAGTCTTGTTGATAATATATACTATTGGAACTTCTAGTCACTCACACACATACACACACACACACACAATTTCCACACCCATACCCATGAGGCATCATGTTTCCTGCCCAGTGGGGTTTCAAAAGAGGTTATGTTCTTATGTTAGCCCATTTTCAATCTTATAGTTTGTATTGTTTTGATTTTTGTTTCTTCCAATACCTTGGTCACATAGGAGCTTTGGTTTTGATTTTTTTTTTTTTACACTTTTATTGTGATTTGGCTGAAGGTTTTAGTATGTTTTAAAATAATCATTTAGATTGTGTATCATAGTGCCTAAGGCACTTTACTGCTAACCAGAAGGCTGGCGGTTCAAACCCACCAGCCAGCCACTCCTCGGAAGGAAGATTGGGCAATCTACTTCCATAGTGATACTGCCTTGGAAACCCAAGGAGGGGTTGCTATGAGCTGGGTCTGACTCGACGGCAAATAACAACAACATCAAATAATAGGATGAAAGTACTGCATTAATATTTCATCCTCTAAATTGGATTGCATTAATGCTGCATTTTAAACTCTATTTTTGTTTTACAAATCAATATATAAACTATGTTGTTGTTGTTATGTGCTGTCTAGTTGGACCCGACTCATAGCGAGACCGTCCTTGGGTTTCCAAGGTAGTATCACTATGGAAGTAGATTGCCCAACATTCCTTCCGAGGTTTGAACCGCCAGCCTCCTGGTTAGCAGTCAAGTGCCTTAGGCACTATGCTACCGGAGCTCCCTATAGTTTTGTATTTTTAATTTCATCTTGAAGTGGAGCGAAGATTAAAGTACATCTACTAAACTTGGTAAGCGTTTGCTTAAGCACATTCAACAATGGCAGGGGATGTGCTTGAAAAAACCTTTCCTTTAACATATAGGTTAAGGGCACATGCTCTAGGATCAGACAGGCTTGAGACAGTACCAGGCTCATCCTTTAGCTGTATGAGCCTGGCTAAGTGACTTAACTCCCATAAGCCTGAATTTCCTGCCTGGTAAATGGGACAATTAATGGTACCCACTTCAAAAAGCTGTAAGGATTAAAAGAGATGATGTATGTAAAAGCTTTTGGTGCAGTGCTTGGCACACAGTTAACTGCTCCTTAAGTATTAGCCATGATTAAGAATATGTGTAGCATGCTTCATTTTCATATTCTTTAGATATTATTCCTATTTCTGTGACAGTGTTGAAGGGTTCACTTGATGTAACTAGATAATTTATTCTTAAGCATTATTATTTTTAAAGTCTTTTCCCCCAGTTATTTTTAACTAACCTAAAATGATTTATGGGAGTTCTGGTGGTGTAGTCCATAAGGCATTTGACTGCTAACCAGAAGGCTGGTGGTTCAAACCCACCAGCCACTCCTCAGAAGGAAGGTTGGGCAAACTACTTCCATAGTGATACCACCTTGGAAACCCAAGGAGGGGTCTCTGTGAATCAGATCTGACTCTATGGCAGTGGGATAATGATTTATGCTGGCCTAATGCTAGGATGTAAAACATACCTGGGCTATTGCTGCTTTTGCCAGACTCCACTTTAGCTAAGTTTTGGAGCTCCAGGGTTTGGAGTTTGAAGTTCTGTGAACAAAGGGTCTAAGGTTATTCTCTGAAGACTGACACAGTTTGGAGGCGCCACCACTCACCGGATCAGGGGGAGGAGGTTCAGGTAGGCTGCTCTTGCCATGTCTGCTTGGGCCCCAGACAGGAAGCCATCATGGAGAAAGTCACCCATGTTGGTCAACATCCCATGTAAGGCATAGAGGTCACAGAGACGTTTGAGTACCTGCCGAATCTCTGGTTCATCTTCTAGTTTCTCCAGAGTTTGTATAAAACTCTGCAGAATGACATAGTAGCAGTGTGCCTACAGAGACACAAAGATATATTAGCCTCTTATTTCTAATTTCCGGCTCCAGAAGTCATTCTGGAAATTGGCAAGGTTGCCAGAATGAGCTTGCTGTGGCTGTGTGTGTTTCTCAGCAGGCTGACAAAAAGCCACCTTTTCTCCTAGCTCATTGTGGGTCTGACAGCCTTTGTGATGGTGTGTGATGTATGAGATGTGGTGCATGTGTGTGCACGTGGTCTTTGGTTTTCTCATTTTACTTGGGGCAGTTTCAAATAGGTTTGAAAAGTGGAGAGAAAGGATACAGGAGTACTGGAGGCTGGCCTGGGGAAAATGGAGGACAGCAACACTTTTCTGAAGAAAACTACTATTTCTTGTCCACCATGTTCAGAGCAGTGTTTGTGTGTGTGTGTGTGTGCACACATGTATATGTCTTGAGGTGAGAAACTAGGGGTTCAAGATGCATACAAAATTTATCCTAGCTGCAGTGGAATGTTGAAGTAAGCAATGTTGTATTTAGCTCATATGCAGTGGCTCTACCAGTTGGTAAAATAATACTTGGGTATTGGATCGCTACGAGTCAGAATTGATTTGACAGCACACAACAACAAACAACTGGTTGGTAAGTGACCACTGCCTTGAAGCCGGTGAGGGCTCCCTCTGCCATCTGAGCTCCTCCTCTGGAATCTCTTACATCTCCCACAGTCCAGCAGGACCCTGCTTCCCTAGGCCTGTAGTCTTTTTTGATTGGTTGGTGCCCCTGCCCTACTAGTTGTTAAAGATTTTGAATATTTCCCTCCCTCTCCCACCTAAAGGGAGCTCTGGTGGTATAGTGCCTAAGGCATTTGACTGCTAACCAGAAGGCTGGCAGTTCAAACCCACCAGCCACTCCTCGGAAGGAAGGTTGGGCAATCTACTTCCGTAGAGATACCACCTCAGAAACCCAAGGAGGGGTCACTATGAGTTGGAGCCATCTTGATGGCAATGAGTTTGGTTTTAGTTTGGTTCCCACCTAAAACAAGTGCACACTGTTATCAAGTGAGATACAAGAGTTCCATGAAGGAGTAGAGGAATGAGGAGAATATAAAGCAATGCATCTCAAATTTTTATACGCACACAGATCCCCGAGGAATCTTACAAAAATGCTTATCTCAGCTGAGGCCTGAGACTGCATTTCTGACTAGCTCTCCAGTGACACCCATGCTACTGGTAGTGACTTTAAGTAACAAGGCTTTTCATGGCTTAGGGGTTCAAAGGAGTTCACCCAGGGGGACCAGCAATGGGGGAAAGATCATTCTAGGTAGGGGAACTGTGCAAAAGACTGAACTATCAGGAAGCTGCAGGCACTTCAATGAGGCTGAAGCTCAGGGGAGGCATGGGAGTTAGGAATGGTAGCTGGTGCCTAGATCTGTGAATGACATGGTTGGGTTTATTCTGTGGAGGTCAGGGAGTCCCGAGAGTCTTTTCAACAGGCAGTGACCTGATCAGGTTTCTGGCTTGGAAAGAATCTGCTTTTCCCAGGAAGACCTTGCACAGGTGCTAACATCACCACTGTGTCACCAGGAGCTGGGTGCTCACAGCCAAGTTGAGGGTGTGTGTGTAGAAGAGGGGCAGATGTTCTCTACTGCCCCTGCTGGTTTGTTTCCCCAAAACTGAAGTGCCTTGCTTCTTTCACCAAGGCCCTGCCTCTTCAGGGCCAGCTCCTTGAAGCCCAGGGCCCTGGGCTGGGGAGCAGAGTGATGGAGAGCTGCCTGAGGGCCCGACCTCTATATCGCTTGGACAGCAGGATGAGGATCAGAGGAAGAAGGTGGCTTCTATGTTTTGGGGAAAGGCTAAGCCAAACCTTGGCACAAGATTCTGAGCACAAAGGACTTTAGAGGAAAACTGGGATTTGTTTTTTGTTTTTAATTTTTTACTGTGATTTGGGTGAAGGTTATGGTGTGTGTATGTGTGTGTCTGTCTGTCTTGGTTTAACTCTTGCCTCCTACCTAATTCTGGGGTGGAGTGGTGAGGAAACCAGTGGGGCCTCTAGTCATAAAGAGCCCTTTACCAGTGTAGTGTGCTGGTTTTATCTGTAGATTGCAGATAGGATCTGTTTTGCTTAACAGACTTATGTTTGCACTTGTGTACTAGCCTTTTTCTCTAAGGATTTTACAGGTTTTAATTCATTTAATCTTCATAATAATCCTACGACGGTGGGTCTATTATTGGTCCCATCTTGCAGATGAAGAGATTGAGGCCCTGAGTGATTATATTCCCTGCCCAAAGTCACGACTAAAGTAGCAGTGCCAAGATCCAAACCAGGGAAAACCAGCCAAAGCTGTCAGAAACAGGAGTACCCAGCACTTACTCTAGTGGTCCTAGGGAAAAACAGGTCCCCTGGGCAGGGTCTTGGATTATAGGGCCAGAGCCTTTCACAGCCAGAGGGTCCTTCCATGCCCTTTTGTTGTATAGACCGGGAAGTTCAAGACCAAAGAGGGAAAGGGGATGCCTGAGGTCACACAGCATGTTGCACAATGTATGGGACCAGAACTTAGCCCAGAGCTCCTTTTCATTCACCTCTCTGCCTCTGCCTCCCCCCCATCTGAGTTGTAGTCACTCTACTTGCATATTTACGGTTTCCAGGTCAGACCTGGTTGAGTGCTTATTTCTGCAGAGCAAATGGCTCCCCAAAGTACAAAAAGTACTGAATACAACATCCATTATGACCCTGGAGATTCAACTTGGTCATCATTTCCCCAGGAACCATCAGGGACTTGCCCTTCTCCCCCAGGCTGGCTGAGCTTCCTTTCGTTGGTGTCCCCCAGAGCCTGGGGCTCACCTCACACACTCATCACACTCCCTGAGGACTGAGCTTGCCTCAGTGGTGTGTGGGAAAAGAAAGTGTCTGCTTCAGCTATTTCCTAGCTGAGATTTAACTCCTCTGAGTTCTGTTTCCTTGTTGAAAGAGACTCATTATGCTAGTCTCTCTCACAGGGTTGTGCATATTAAATGAAGTAATGCTGGCAAGCTGTGTCTGATCCACTTGTAGGCAGGGCACAGGTTTGAAAAATGGCTGAATACTGGCAGAACTGTTGTTCTTTTTTTGGTGAGAGTGTAGCCTTGGCTAGCCCTTTCTGCACTGATAAGACATTCAGAACAGAGGGCTGCAGAGTCAATACCAGCACTTGCAGGTGTGGTAATGGTGCCGGGTCACCAGGTGGCGCTCCTGCCCAGTTTGCTGGGCCAGTCCTGGCCTGCAGCGACTCCTCTAGAAAGAGTCCTTCAACTCTGCTGTTCTAAGGCTGCCATTTTCTGGGCCTGAGGCCTGAGAGTTAGGTGATCATCTTGGTCTTCTGGCTGTTGGCAGGGCTGGAGTTTCAGCTGCCCAAGCCAGCTCATGAGTCATTCTCACCTCTTATCTACACCATTATTCTCCCTTCTTTTGCATCTGCCCACTTCTCTCCACACTCATAGTTGGGGGTCCACCCTCAGCCCAAACTGCTGCTGCTTCCTCCTAACTGGCTTCCAGCCACTGGCCCATTTCTTCCCTAGCAGCCTGCATGATCCTGCTAGAATGAAAGTCTGATTATTTCACTCTCAGCTACAAACCCTGCAACGACTTCCCTTTGTAGTGATACCAAATCCAAAGGTATTGGTGCAGAAGGCCCCAGGCCTTGTCTATCTCTCATCTCTCTCCTCCCCCATCTTCCCTCCTCTGTTTCAGTCCTCCTTTAGGACCATGGGAGGACTTGTATTTCCTCTCAGGGACCAAGCCTTTTCTTCCTTTTGCTTATGTACCTGTTGTTCTCATTGGCTGGAAACCTTCCCTCCAAAGCCTCAGTCCCCAGCCTTTGCCTTGGCTACCTTCAGCTCATCCTTGAAGTGTTAGCTTACATGCTACTTTTTCTGAGAAGCCTTTCTTGAGGAGTCAAGGTGGATAGAGATGTTCCTGCTCTGGAATCCCACAATGCTGTTGCTGTTGCTGTTAGCTGTGTCTTGTCAGCCCACAACTCTTGGCAACCCCATGCACAATGGACTAAAATACTACCTGGTTCTGTGCCATCCCCAAGATTGGGTATGGATCAAACCTGGGATCCCACAGCATCCTGTATTTCCCCCATCATGGTGCTTCCTTGATTGTAGCTGTGTATGAGTGGTGGGCTCATTGCACCCAGCCCAGAACCTGATGCGGAGTGAGTGCCGCAATATTTGCTGGCTGAATATGTGAATTATGCACAAGCACAAAACATAGTGGGAATGGAATCAGACAGCCAGGGATTGCCTGTGGGGCTATGGGGAGACTTGACCTAGTTTTCTATCTGGGAGGAAATATTTGAACAACCTGAAGCAAATCCAATAACACTGTCTCGTTATGTTTCCCCCTAAGAGCTGCCAGCAAGATTGCTTTGGAGTTAAGTCCTTTAATTAAAATATCCTAGACTAAACACTTACAAGTGAAATGAGGGCAACCACTGAGCAGGCCTGGGGAATAATGGCAGAGCTGGGATTTTCCCAGCAGTATAACCTGCTGGGAAAAAAAGTGGGTCCATTTAGCTGTAGCTGGCAGGAAGCTCACCTTAGCAGCCTGGACAAGTAGGACAGTGGTCTGGTTCCACGCTGTGTGCCTGTCAACCCCGGACTGCGTCAGGGTCTGTAAATGATGCACCGAATCCTTTATGAGCCTAAAACCAAAGAGAAAAAGAACCTGAGAATGGAATTTGGTCCTAGGCTGCCTGGGGTCCCTTGGAGGCAGAAATCATTTCCATTTACTGATCACTTGTGAGCTATAAAAGGAGCTCTGATGGCACAGTGGTTAAAGCATACAGCTGCTAACCAAAAGGTTGGTAGTTGGAAGCTACCAGCTGCTCTGTGGGAGTTAGATGTGGCAGTCTGCTTCCATAAAGATTTACAGCTTTGGAAACCCTATGGGGCAGTTCTACTCTGTCCCATAGTTTCACTATGAGTTAGAATTGACTTGATGGCAGTGGGTTTGGTTTTTTATTTTTCTGTACTATAATGCTAAATTCTTGGTGTATGTTCTTTCTTTCCAGAGACCCTCATTAGAGCAGGCGCTCCCATTTTACAATGGGTAAAACTAGTCCCAGAGACATTAACTAACTTCTCCAGGGTCACACTACTAGTAATGAGTGGAACCAAAATTTGGATCTGTACTTAAACATGGTGCTGTAAAGTCTCAGGGCTGCAGGCCCCAGCTGCCCACTCTGTCTAATGCAGACTCCACCCTGGTACCAGTGTTTTCAGGCCATTCTGCTGACTGACTTGCCAGACTGTGGCCAAGCAAGAGGAATGGTTTTTCTCTAAAGGCCACAGGGCTGTCAGTCATCCAGCCTGCTCCAAGTTGTGCTCATTGTTGTTATATGCCTTTGAGTCGGCCCCAACTCACAGTGACCCCTCCTTGGGTTTCTGAGGCAGTATCACTAAGGAATTAGATTGCCCAACTTTCCTTCTGAGGAATGGCTGGTGGGATTGAGCCACCAGGCTTCTGGTCAGCAGTCAAGTGCCTTAGGCACTGCGCTACCAGAGCTCCTAAGTTGTGGTCAGGGCACCTTAAAAAATGAAACAAAATGAAAAGCAAATAGGAAAAACCAACCTTGTCCTCTAATTCACTAAATCATTTTCTTATCCTTTATTTTCCATTCACTATCCAACTACCCATGACCCCTGGACTTTGTATGGAAAACAAACTAGTTTTTTTTTAAGCAATATTTATTTTGCTTCATCAGGAAATAGATAAGAAGAATGTCATGTCAAGTTCCAAGCACAAAGAATATAATGAGACTAGTGACCCTGAGCAGTCGTAATTTACCTGCACCACCTTCCCCAGTTAAAATGTTAGCTGGGTGAGGGCTGGGATTTTTATCAGTTGTATCATAAAATCAGCTGGAATTTTATGGCCTGTTGATATACCCTGAGTGCCTAGAACAGTGCCTGGCATATTCTAGACACTAATACATATTTATGGACTAAATGAATATCTGTCAGGCTGCTTGTGATGATGAAATAGCTACTACCCATTCCTAGGACCCCAGGTGGGGAACTTTCCTTATATACTGAAAATTTTTGTTTTCAAGTTTTTTTTTTTAAATTTAAGGAGGGGTTCAGAAGGTTTCCTTTTTAGGTACTTATATCCCCCTGTCTTTTCCATGATGATGACTGTCCATAACCTCTCTTTACTTGCTGCCCCAGCATGTTTGGACATTCCTGACACATACTAGGTGCCTGTCAATATTTGTCAAATGATAGAATGGATGAGATGAGTCCTTGGTCTTGTCCATGTACTCTGGAACCTGTTTGACCCTGGAAATAACACTTATTCTACCCCTTGGCATAGTCCGATTTTTGAAAATTGTTTTCAGATTGTGGAATATTTCAAGCATTGCAAGTGTTGCTTTATCGCTATTTACAAACCAACACATCCATGGGATTTATATATGGGTACATTAACTGTACAGGCATACTTAATTTTATTGTGCTTTGCTTTATTGTGCTTCACAGATACTTTATTTTGTGCGAATTGAAGGCTTGTGGCAACCCTGCAGCAAGCAAGTCTATTGGTGCCATTTTTCCAAAAACGTGCTCACTTCATGTCTGTCCCGTATTAGTAATTCTCACAATATTTCACAGTTTTTCATAATGCTCCTACACCCTTCACAGACTAAAGTATACTGCAAATATAACTTTTATATGCAATGAAATACCAAAAAATTGATGTGACTTGCTTTATTGTGGTGGTTTGGAACCAAACCCACAGACTCTCTGAGGTATGCTTGTATTGTAAATACCATAAGATCCTAAAGATTTTGAGAATGCCTCTTGCTGGCAGAAAAGGTGATGTCTTTCTCTAATCTTGGCCAGGATGGGGAAATAATAGTGGTCCATGGCTGACAGGTGCACCTTCCCCTTCTGTCTATGGTGGCAAGACTGGGAGGACCGAGGAGTCAGGGTGGTGGTGGTGGTGGTGGTGGCAGTGGTGGTCGTCGTCTTTAGCAGTGTATCTGCCAATGCCTACCCAACCAAATCCAAAGGCCCTTGTGAGAGAAGAAGCCTGCCTCTAGGTGGGATGATTGATTTCTTGAGGCCAGCTCACCTGGCTACCATGTGTGCCCAGGCCGCAGTATAGAGTTCCGGGCAGAGGAAGTCGGCTGCCTGCTGAGCTGGGCACCTGGCCAGGACAGGTGCAGTGAGATACGTGACAGACTGAGGTGGAGACCTTGTGGATGTGGTGTCTGGAGACATCTGAGCCTGCAGGTGGTTATTCACCAGAAACCTGGAGTGGGGTAGGGGAGAGGCAGGTGAGACACAGAAGGGCTCTCTGGGGCAGCCCAGCATCCCTCTTCTGAAAGACATGCACTCCTATGTTGGGCTCCAGCTTCCCTGTGGGAGAACCAGTGCCCCCAAGGCTGTCAGCCCAGCCCCCTTACTGATTGTTGTCCCTCACTCCAAAGCCCCTTCACACCATCCTCCCAAGAACTCAGTGAGGTACAACCCAAGACTATAGTTTCTTCTGCAATGAAATGGGGCTGCACAGCCAGGACAGAAACTCTCCAATCCTGAACATAAGCCCTTTTGAGATCTGAGCAAACAGAGTTTTCCCTATGAGGTAGAATTCTCTGACTTAGAGATTTATGATGAATTGTACAGCAACTACACAGAAATTAAATTTTCTTAGCTGAAAAAAGGAAGAAAGGATAGATGCAAAAATGCTGACATGAGTGAGAAGATTATAGGTGACTCTGCTCTTTTCTTTAAACAACCAATAAATGTTACATATAAAATAATCCAATAAATGTTATATAACATGCCTGCCACAAACCTCCTTCTCCCTATATGGGGAAACATTTGTCCTGTTAAGTTGCCCGCAATAGGTGAGCTGAGGTGGGTGAGAAGCTTTGTCAGTAGTGAGGCCCACAGGCATAAAAGGGATGCGAAGAAAACACCTGTTTGGAGGACGCTGCCCCAGCCATTCATCCTGCCTCTCAGGTTGGAGCTCCTGTGGGCAGGCCCTAGACTATGCTAGGGGAGTACTGCAGTGAGAAAGGCTGACATCCCTGTTCTCCAGGAGCTCCCTGTCTAGTAGGGGAGCAAAGTTAAAAAGTTAAACAAAACAAACAAAAAAATGAGACCATTACAGATTGTGATAACAGCTCTAAAGGAAGTAAGGCATCGTTGGGTAGGAGGGTTGGGGTGGTGCTATGTTAGATGGCGTGGTCAGGGAGGGCATCTCTGAGGAGGTATCATTTTAGCTGAGACCTGAAGCATGAGAAGAAGCTAGCAATACAGTAACTTGGGGACTAGAGTTCCAGGTAGAATGAACATAAGTGCAAAGGCCCTGAGGTGGGAAAGACTTGTATGGCTGGAAGAAGTGAGCAGAGGCAAGAGGTTATGACCATAGGATAGAGAGGGAGGCAGGAGCCAGGCTGTAAGGACCTCTTAGGCCAGTGTGGAGTGTGGCTTTTTCCTAGAGCAATGGGAGGCTACTGGAGAATTTTAATCATGATCTTCTCTGAGCTTTGAAAAGATTCCTCTGGCTGCCTGTGGAGAATGGACTTATATGTGGCAGATTAGAAGTGAAGAGACTAGTGAGGGGACTGATGCTGTTGTCTAGGTGAGAGATGAAGATGTGTGGCCTGGCTGGGAGCAACAGTGGGCCTGGGGAGAAGTAGATAGATTGAAGATGTATTGTGGTAGTTGGAAAATCCCAGAACAGTGCTTCCTAATTAATGCCTGCTCACTCCATGGGCATCAGATGGAGACCCAACCCAAGCAGAAGCTGGAGGGCTCAGCCGAGGGCTGGGTCAGCTGGGGCCTCACCTGGCCATCTGCAGGTAGAGCACAGTGTTCTCACCCTCATAGGTGCAGGAGGCTGTCACCCTGGTGACCAGGGAAGGCAGGCCACTCAGCTTTGAGAAGCCATGTCCCCCACAGGCCCTGCGGCACACTTCAGCCCCCTCGGTGCAGTACTCCGACACCAAAGCCTTCAGACCTGAACTCAGTGCATGGAGCTGTGGGAATGGAAGGGCAGAAGGTGGGATCAGGTGCTGTGACAGGGTCCTCCAGTACAACTGTGTTTGTCACTACTGTTGTTGTTGTTGTTATGTGCCATCGAGTCAGACCCAACTCATAGCGACCCCTCCTTGGGTTTCCGAGGCAGTATCACTATGGAAGCAGATTGCCCCATTTTCCTTTCGAGCAGCGGCTGGTGGGTTTGAACCCCCAGCCTTCTGGTTAGTAGTCAAGTGCCTTAGGCATTACGCTACCAGAGCTCCTGTACTGAGCACTTAGTATATGTTGAGCAAAACTCTGTGCTCACCACTTAAAAATGAGACAACTGAGGCTCAGAGAGTTTACACGACTCACCCAAGGCTACATCCCATTAGGAAATATGGCAATAAGAACAAAGGAAAACCTGTCCAGACCAGTGTCTGTATGATCCCAAGAAGAGGGGATACCTGGATCAGGCCCACCATCATCCAGGAGTTTTAGATTTTTCTGGTGAGCAGAGGTTGTGCAGAGCTGGCCTGTGACAAGGGGCGTCTACTATCAACCCACTGCCCTGGTTATAGGAGGTGCTGCTAGGCAGTAGGCCTGGTTTGTTTTTAGTTCTTAAAAGTTCCTCATCTTTCAAACTTTCATGTCCTTGGGAGGAACGCTGAGTCCCTTAACCTCTCTGTGCTTCAGTTTGCTCATCTGTAAAATGAGCCTCACTTTATTGTGCTGTGCAGATAGTGCATTTTTTTAAAAACTGAAGGTTTGTGGCAACCTTGCATGGAGCAAATCTACGGGCACCATTTTTCCAGTAGTTTTTGCTCACTCCATGTCTCTATGCCATATTTTGGTAATTCTCACAATATTTCAAACTTTTTCATAATGCTTTTGCACACTTAACAGACTTGAGTATAGCATAAACATAACTTTTATAAGGTATTAAACCAAAACCTAAAACCAAATCCACTGCCATCAAGTTGATTCTGACCCGCAGCGACCCCATTTGGGTTTCTGAGGCAGTAAATCTTCATGGAAATAGTTTGCCCTGTCTTCCCTCTGTGGAGTGGCTGGTGGGTTTGAACTGCCACCATTCTGGTTTGGAGTCAAATGCCTTAGGCACCATGCCACCAGGGTTCCTTTTTATATGTAGTGTTGTTGTTGTTATGTGTTGTCGAGTTAGACTTGACTCATAGCGATCCCTCCTAGGGTTTCCGAGGCAGTATCGCTACGGGGGTAGATTGCCCCATCTTCCTTCCGAGGAGTGGCTGGTGGGTTTGAACTGCCAGACTTCTGGTTAGCAGGCAAGTGCCTTAGGCACTATCAGAGGAAACCAAAAAAAATTCATGTGAGTTGGTTTATTGTGCTGTTCACTTTATTACAATAGTCAGGAACCAAACCCACAATCTCTCCAAGATGTGCCTATATAAATTGTGCCTGCTGCACAATTTGAAGAAGTAACGCTTATAAAGCATAGGGCCTGGCCTAATATGACTCCAGTGTACGTGTAAGTCCACAGTTCTTTATTGGAGACACTTGGGGCCAGGTATACTTTGGAATCAGAATAATTTTTGGATTTTAGAAAGATAAAGAGGGCATTTAGGGTACATTATTTATACTCCTCCCAGTGGAGATATAAACCAAAACCAAACTCACTGCCGTCAAGTCAATTTGACTCATAGTGACCCCTCCTTGGGTTTCCGAGGCAGGGAGCTCTGGTAGCATAGTGGCTAAGACACTTGCCTGCTAACCAGAGGGCTGGCGGTTCAAACCCACCAGCCACTCCTCGGAAGGAAGGTTGGGCAATCCTACTTCCGTAGTGATACTGCCTCGGAAACCCAAGGAGGGGTCGCTATGAGTCGGGTTTGACTCGACGGCACATAACAACAACAACATCACTAAGGAAGTAGATTGCCCAATCTTCCTTCCAACGTGTGGCTGGTGGGTTTGAACTGCCATCCTACTGGTTAGCAGTCAAATGCCTTAGGCACTATGCCACCAGAGTTCCTAATGGGAATATAGGACAGCTTGATAATCAAACAGTATTTCTGCAGCAAAATGTATTTATGTTCAGTGGGATAAGTCAGGTCAGTTCAGATCAAACTATGCCACTAAATGAGTTCTATGCACCTTTTGGTTTTCAGAGTTCTTTGGGTTTCAAAAGCAGATCAGAGATTGTGGATCCATAGTCTATATAAAATGTGTGATTATTTTCTTGAACACTTTCAGAACTTTCTAGGGGTCAGGCATGGGTGGGTTTGTATGTCTGGGCACAGTTCACCCCAGGTACACCTTGGGATGTTGGAAGGTGGGAGCAGGAAGTAGGAGGGGCCCATGGGACCTGGGCTAGGACTGCTTCCCATTGGGTAGAACAGCTGCCCTCCCAGCCCCTGCCCCTTAGACGGTTTTTACCTCAGGCAGGAGGCTAAAGTCTCCATCCAGAATGGCACTGTAGGCATGTTGGAAGAATTCCAAGAGTGTGACTGCCCGAAAATGAAAAGCATAGGCCATGGCCAGCTGAGGAAAGAGTTTCTGCTGCTGTGTCTGGTAGTCCAGGACTTTTGCTTCTGGCTCACTGAAGGGAAAAGATAAAGGTTTAGAAGATTACTACTAAACCACATCCACCTTCCCAGGTCCCAAAAGCCATAAAAGCCATAAGAACCAATAGTTCTTTATAACTTGTTACAAAACTTGAACTGACGTGAGGCTATTAATCTTTTTTAATCCCATCTAGCATGAACATTCACACAATTCCCTGCAGAAATACTGATACATCTGATTACAGGTGCTGTCCCTTGAAAAGCTCTGAATGCCAACACACTTGGCCCCAGGGATTTTGGGTAAGGGGTCATGAACATGCATTCCTGGACCAGTGACCTCTCACCACCAAAATGCCCTTGCTGGGCACTGGGAAATGTGTCAAACATAAACAGTAACTTCTAAAATGTTAACTAGGGTGGGATGGAATCCTAAGGTCACGCAATGTCTGCCTTGTCCAATGCTGTGTCTTCAGTGCCTGAGGCTGTGCCTGGGATGTAGGGGCCACGGTAACCATTTGTGGATTCAAAGATGGTCTGAATATGTGATCCCTCCCATAGCTGATGGGGGAGGAGCCTGGGGGCTCCTCTCTGCGGCAACAGCTCATCACCCGGACATGTATTTTTTATAATCATCCTTGGGATACTTCTGCATCCAGGAAGAATGGACTCCAGACAGGACATCATTGGCTGTACTTTCTGCTCAGCACCTTTGTCCTCAGGAGAAGACCATCTCCCAACCTGGGCTTGTAAAGTCCAGGCCGGCTGAGTGTGCCTTGAGTGTGCCAGAGGAGAGGGAGCAACAGGGAACACATATCTTGGGCTAAGGCCCTGGCATGCCTTTATCATACTTCACCTTCAACTATACCCTGAAAGACAGCTCCTGTCACACCTCCATTTTTTAGATGAGGCAACTAAAGAACAAGGAGCTGAGGTCTCCTACAGCCAGCAAGTGGCCTAGCTGAGCTTGCCACTCAGGTATGGTCATTTAGTATAAGGCTCATTCTGGACCCTGCAGCCCACAGCATGAACCACCACCTGACCCTTGGGCTGAATTTTCTCTCTTCACCTTACAGGTGAGAAAACCAAGGACTAGAGAGGGCAGAGGACTTGTCCGGGGTCACTCAGCAGAACTGACACAGGAACTGCTAGGTTAAAGCCCAGCCCTCAGCCACGGGGTCATTATGCTGTGTTTCACTGGGATGACATATGCCCAGGCTCCATTTTGCTGAATGTTGGGTGTTTGTGAAGGAGCCCTGGTGGTGCAGTGATTGAGTGCTCAGCAGCTAACCAAAAGGTTGTGGTTCAAACTGACCTGCCTCTCTGTGGGAGAAAGATGTGGCAGTCTGCCTCCATAAAGATTACAGCTTTGGAACCCCTATGGGGCAATTCTACTGTCCTATAGGGTTGCTACAATGGCAACAGGTTTGGTTTGGGGTATGTGTGTCCACTGGGGACATATTTATTCTAAAAAGTATTTGTTGTTTATCTGAAGTTCAAATTTAAATGATTAGTGGAATCTGGCAACCTTATATGTGTCTATATGTGTGTGTGTAGGTTAAACATAGAGAGATATTCTATGTGTAGAGTGGAGGGGGTAGTCGCCAGACACATCCACATACAAGATATCAGATCCAGACTTAAACATAACACAGTTAGATGCTGATAGTCCAACAGAAGCAAGTTCAATCATGTATAGTCTGATATGACACTTGGGCTTTGATAGAACACACCGAGCCAGCCACAGTAGGACACAGCTTGACAAACAGGCTGACTCTGACTCACTCATCCAGTCACAGCCAGACATGCAGACTCTGACAGACACAGACTGAGTTGGGTCTGATGGTATACACCTAGTCAGACAAGATCACACAGAGCCTGACAGGGCCAGGCATGGGTTGGTCCAGGTGCTCGACAGCCAGGGTTAAGGAGGAGGCCAGATAGAGACCTCACAGACATGGTGGCCAGGTAGGACAGATACTGGGGTGTGTGTGAGGGGCGGGGTAGGATAAGCCTGTTTCCTGCAACCTGGCTCTGGCACAGGGGTGGTTTTGGGGCAGGCAGGGTGGTCAGCCTTTGGGCACCCCTTACCTGGGCTGGATCCGGGATTGGCGGCGTATGACCGAGTAGCGTGTGGCGATGACACAAGCCTTCTGCAGCTGGGGTAGGATCTCCTCCAACAGCAGCCCCACTCGTACCACCACCATGGAAAGGTAGTTGCTCTGTGCTGTTCCAAGCCTGATGTAGGTGCCATCTGGCAAGACCTGTGTGGACCAAGGACAGGTGCTGGCTCTGAGTCCCACACCCAGAACCGTGGGCCTCCATGCACCATGGGCACACTGCTCCTCAGACTGTTCAGCAGCAGCAGACACAGCTACATCCAGGGCCAACCAGTGGCCAGCCAGAGTGCACACTGTTGAAATACTGAAACACTTCTGTGCCTGCTACTAAATAGCCACTACCCCAAGTCTGCTGGTTCACAGCTCCTCTCCTGGGACAGCCCTGGACCTCCTCACGATCCACAACCGCAGGAGCAATGTCTGGCAAAGTAGGGAGGGAACCTCTAGAAATTTCTCCAGAACCCCGGCTGGTGGCCAGTGATTGGCTGTGTCCAGGCCTCACTGAGCTTATATAGACGTATCACCCCAAGTCCTATCCCTCTTCTCAGATTTCCCGGCCACCCCATGAGGTGAGCAAGGATGACAGATGATTCCCTCCATTTACATGTGAGAACTCTTGAAGCTCAGAGAGGGGAAATGATTTGCCCCAAATTATGTAGCTCCTAAACTGAGGTTTTAACCAGGTCTGTGGGATTGCAAAGGAGCTCTGGTGGCATAGTGGTTAAGGCATTCAGCTGCTAATCAGAAGGTCGGCATTTCAAACCTAGAAGCTGTTCTGTGGGAGAAAGGTGCAGAAGTCTGTTTCCATTAAAGATATACAGCCTTGGAAAAACTGTGGGGCAGTTCTACTCTGCCTTATAGGGTCACTATGAGTCAGAATTGACTCAATGGCAGTGGGTTTGGTTTGGGTGGGACTGCAAAGGCTCTGATGAGGGGGGACAAACTCAGCTCTAAAGAGGAGGATCCAGAGCCAGTGTCAGCCTGCTGGGTCCATCGTCCCCTCTCCAGGCAGAATAGGCTGCAGCCTCCCCAGGCTCCTACCTCTGCAAAGCGACTCAACATGTTCTCCCGGGGTATCCGTACGTGGTCCAACTGCAGGAAGCCATTATCTGAATGTTCAAAGCTCATCCTGGGCCCAATATCTCCAACAGTGATTCCTAGTGGCAGAGGGATATGTCTGCCAGTTCAGTACTTGCTGTATACCTGTTTCAACTCACCTGAGCATTAAGCAGACTGTGACATCAAAATTATTACATCTGTTTTGCAACTGAGGACAGACAAGTGTTGATTCTTGCCCAGGCTTACCCACCCTGGTGGCACTAGGTCTGCCCAATCACTCCCTCTCCCTGCTCAAGAGGAGGTGTTGCTCTGGGCCCCCTCTGCTCTGATGGGCCTCTGGGGCACCAGGATAGGGAAGCCTGGTGGGGGTCTCCTCCTACAGAAGCTGCATAAAAGCTTACCTGGCAGAGGGGTATGGTCCTGGAGGCTCCGGATGGGCACGATAAAGGCGTGCATGCCCTGCCGGGCTCCTGAGCAGATCAGCTGGGCCAGGACCAGGGCATGGGTGGCTGTCAATCCCACTGAGGGCAAGAGATGAGAGGCTTAGCATGATCCCTGGGGCATGAGGCCTCAGTATACAGAGCCATCAGGGATTCAGATGTTGGCACAGTGTGCATGGGGCAGGAGGGCCAGCATGGTGGCATGGGGAAGCTCTGGTACCCTGTGAGGCCAGGATGGATTTTGGTGGTCTGCTTCAGAGAGAGGGTCAGAGGAGGAGGCATCAAGGAACCTGGAGGGTGAAGGGAGTTTTCTGGGAGAACCACACAGGGAAGGTGTGTAAAGCAGAGGGAACAGTATGCTCAGAAGCTTGAGGACAGGATCAGTGTGGTGGGGCCGTGCTGTGGGAAAGGTCGCATCCAGGGCAGCAAGGAGTTGAGGGAAGACAAGAAGTGGGCATGTGGATGGATCGAGAGATACCTTGACTCAAAGTCTTCCCTCCCAACTGGAATGATCCACAGAGGCCTTACTGTGAGTGTCTGGCTCTAGTATGCATGGAGTTGGAAGGCCTCATAGACAGCAGTTTGGTGGCTAGAGACGCAGCAAAATTCTGTCTAAATGGCAGGTTTTTGTTACAACCACACTGGGATTATCTAGGCATCACGTGAGAGAAATCATGGAGACTGATGGAGATTCTGCAGGAACCAAAACCCTCTGGATATTCTCTCTTCCAAAGGCAAAGTTGAACAAAAGCTATGGATTGTAGTGGAAATAGCCCAGATAGAATAACCTGGTAAAGCTTGGAATCTTTCAAAATTTGGTTCTACTATAATCTTCTAAGGGAGCTCTGGTGGCATAGTGCCTAAGGCACTTGATTGCTAACTGGAAGGCTGGTGGTTCAAACCCCTAGCCACTCCTCAAAAGGAAGGTTGGGCAATCTACTTCTGTAGTGATCCTGCCTCAGAAACCCAAGGAGGGGTTGCTATGAGTGAGGTCTGACTCAATGGCTTTGGCACAGTGGTTAAGCACTCAGCTGCTAACTGAAAGGTCATTGGTTTGGATGTGGTGATCTGCTCCCATAGATTACAGCTTATGAAACCCTGTGGAGCAGTTCTACTATGTCCTAAAGGGTTGTTATGAGTTGGAGTTTATCTGACTGTACATAGCAGCAACAGTCTTTTGGTCTGAGTTATTTTCTTGGGAATCAAGGAGTCAGAAACTTTATGTCAGAGCTGCAGTATGTGTCCTGACCCACAGAGAGAACACTGGTCTGCAACTGCAGGAGGATGTGTGTTTCTGCCCCCACCCTAACTTCCTGGGACTGGGGTCACTGATGGGCACCTCTGGGACCTTAGAAAGTCACTGATCACAAAGAGGGGAAACCACTCCAAAGAGACAAATGAATCTGTCAGTGGTTTGCCAAAGGGGTTGTGAAATGAGCAAGATTTTTTTTTCCCTTCAAAAAACTGTGAGTCACTTTTCCAACAACTAATAATGAATAATTACCATTTATTAAGACACAAGGTGGTAACAGACCCTGTTTGGGTGCTTTCCATATACTGTCTCTGGTTCTTGAAGGGCATTTGAGTCCCCTTTTCCAGATAAGGAAACTGAGGCTCAGGGAGTGGAGTGACATGCTCAAGGTCACTGGTCTGGAGGGGATTTGAACCCTAGGGTGCCTGGATTTCAAAGGCTGGTTTCTTTACAGATTCGACAGCAATCATGTATATTTTCTCTCTCTTATTGCTCTCAGGTCTTTCACTTCACTCACTTCCCTCAGTCTCTCTCCTTTTGCTTTAGTTTAGACTCTTCACATTTGTCTTATTATTTTCCACAAAAGGCATTTGCTGACAGGGCCTGCAAGTACCACTCATACGTGTCCTTAGAAGTAAATTCATTAATCAGAGGAAAAGGGGCTAGTGGGACATCTCCTTAAAAAGAAAAAACAAAACAACTCGCTGTCAGTCAAGTTGAATCCAACTCATAGTGATCCCTCCTTGGGTTTCTGAGTTGATATGGCTATGGAAATACATTGCCCAATCTTCCTTCCTAGGAGTGGCTGGTGGGTTTGAACTGCCAGCCTTCTGGTTAGCAGTCAAATGTCTTAGGCACTATGCCACCAGAAGTGCTAATGGGCTGTAGAGCTTTTCTGGGTGGCTGGAGAATCTCTAGGGAGATGTTTTCTTTAGTAACTATTTAATCACAGGGCCCTGTGCTCCAGCTGGTGACAAGCTTAATCATTCACTCAGGAGATGAGAGGCACTGGAGTTGTAGGGTGCACCTGAGACTAGGCTGTATGTGTCTGCATGTGCACTCGTGTGTTTCTGTGGGGGGCAATGTGTGTGTGTGTGGGGGGGAGAGTAAGAGGGGGAACGAGAGAGACTTGCCCTTTGTTCCCCATAGGTTGGGTCAATTTCCTCATCTACTTCAAAGTTTCCTTGGGAATTTCCCAGCCACCTACCAACAAAATTCTTAATAGCCCACCTTTTTTTTTTTTTTTTAAATTGTGATTTGGGTGAAAATTTACAGAGGAAATTCACTTTCCATACAACTGTTTACATACACTTTGTCTCATGACATTGACTACAATTTACCAAAATGCAACAGCTCCCCTTCTACTTCCTCCTGATAGTTACCTCTTTCCTGTGTCCATCTCTCTATGCACTCCTGCCCCCTGAGCTGTCTCCCTGTGCATAAGCAGCCCTTCTTTCTCCTAAGATTGTTCTCTCCAAGGAGTGTATCTACCTCAGGTAAATGTTCAACTCAAATGCCTGAATTTTATTTGGCTGGAAGCCACAGGTGTGGGTTCAATTCCAGACCTGAAGGGCAGCTAGAGGCCATAGTCTCAGTGGTTCCACCAGGCTCTATCAGACCAGCAAACCTGGTCCCCCTCCCCCCTTTTTTTTTAGCCAAATGATTTTGAGTTTTTTTCCACATTGTTCTCCTTCTCTACCCAGGATCTCCTACATAGATCCCACTCCGAGTGGTTGACAGTGGTAGCCGTAGCCCACCTGTTGTACAGAGTAAGAACCTGAGTGAGGCTCAGGGAGGTGAAATGTTTTGCTTATAGGTCATAAGCCTAGAATAGGAAATCAATCTGATGACTGCTGGACATGTAAGTTAGTGCTACTCTGCCTTCCAACTCTGTTCTTGGAGAGAGATGGGAGTGAGGGGTAGACAGATACTCACAGTCCCCAGGCCACCACTTGATGGCAGTCAGCGTGGGGCTGTGCATCACAAATTCCTGGGTGGCTGCATCATAGGTGGCTTCAGTTTCCAGGCCCTGAAGGTATGTCCCTTGAAAACAAGGAGGGGAGTCAACCATCAGGCCAGGGTAGAGTTCTTATCTGGGGAATTGCTTCTAGGCAGGGCTAGAGCACTCAGGCACCAGCCCAGTTTGGAATGGGTGTCAGCTCCTGGCCTTATTCCTAGGCATTTCTCCCCTTTCACCTGTGGGTTGTGTCAACGACATGTCAGAGTTGTATCCATGACAAGGAATGCTTCCTAAAGGAATGACTTGCCCCACTGCTAGCCCATACAACACATTTATGCAAACAGAAAAAGGAACCCCCCCCAAGACCCTTGACTGCCCACCTGCTGGAAAGTTTTCATATTAAATGTACTTATCCCTCTCACACACACATTGCTCCCCAACAAACACGTGTGTGAGTGTACATGCAGACACACACAACCTAGTCTCAGGTGTACCCTACAACTCCAGTGCCTCTTATCTCTTGAATGAATGATTAAGCTTGTCACCAGCTGGAGCACAGGGTGAATGGGTACTCTGGACTCTGGAATCGTATACTACACACCCTGAATGCTACATGCAGCAACTGTGGCTCACCATGTCCCAATTCCGTCTGGGCATATGCTGTAATGATCTGGAACTCTTCGCAGAGTTTGCCCCATTTGGCAATCTGTTCCTCTGAGCCCAGGCTCCCAAGGGCTTTCTGGAATACACTGTGTAAGGTTAAGCCCATATTTCCAGCAAGGGTTCTGTTGGGGAGAGATACTGTGGTTAACAGCCTGTTGGAGACAGGGGTGTGGGTACTCTCAGCCTGAGCAGAATACAGGAAGGAAGGGGTAGTTGGTATCATGGCATTCCAAATAGTGATGCCTTGTTGGGGAAAATGGCTCATGGGACTGAGGGGTTTCCTAGTTATCTTAGGTGGATTCCTCTTTGGTGGGGCTGCCAAAGGAGTGAGCACCTGTAAGCGTAGTGTAATTCAGGACCATCGTTTGACCAGCCCAGGCGCTGTGCTATCATCAAGAAGTGGACTTTGTGCCGAATAGCCTTCTCATATCGCTCATTTTGGGACATGAAATAAATGTCCTTAAGGCTGAACTCTGGGTCACTGCAGATGATGCTTTCTGCCAGGGACAGAGAACAGAGCACTTAGAGATCTAGGTGAAGTTACTGGCACCTTCAGATCTTCCCACCACTTGCCTCAGAGACCTGGAAAGGAAACCTGATATTATCGTCATTTTACATATGGGGTGACTGAGGCCCATGAGTGGGAAAAGTGACTTGCTCAACGTTACAAAGCCATGCAGTGGCAGAATCAGGACCACACTGTATCTTCTGCTGCCCACCAGGAACTACTTGCCATCAAACCGACGCTGACTCATGGCAACCCCATGCGTGTCAGTAGAAATGTACTTCATGGGATTTTTTAAAATTGTAGTTTGATGATAGTTTACAGAGAAAGTTAATTTTCCATTCAACAATTTATACACATTTTGTTTCATGACATTAGTTGCTGTCCCCTCAGTGTGACAGCACTCTTCCCACTCCCCATGTTTTCAATGGCTGATTTTTCAGAAGCAGATACCAGGCTTTTCTTCCAAGGTATCTCTGGGTGGATTTGAACCTCCAGCCTTTCAGTTAGCAGTCAAGCCTTGTGGTTGTTGTTATGTGCCCTCGAAGTAGATTGCCCCATCTTCCTTCCTAGGAGTGGCCTTCTATCCCTCGTATGGGCTCAGGAAATATTAGCATGTTAAAGGGTTCTTTTATTGTCCAAAGGAATGAATATCTAATTGTGGAATGTTGAGGGCAAAGTTTGTTATTTGATTGGGAGACTGGTAGCAAAGGTCTCTTCTCCCAAGAACAGCATTACGGGCATAAAAAGGAGGTGCTCTACTCTCCAGCCCCACTCTTACCAACTTTTCTCCGGATTGCAGTGTTCTGGGCGCCTCTGTCAAGGATGTTGGTGAGCCGTTCCACATCGAAGGACTGCTTGCACCTCTCACTCTCTATATCAGGATTCATTTGCCTGCTCCACGTATCCCCCAGTGACACTCGATGGACTGGGCTGCTCATCTTGCCTTGGATCTGCCTGATGTCTGAGGAGAGAGTGCCTGGGTTGGCTGCTCTGAGGGTCTGCTCTGAACCTATGTGCAAGAATGCCCACGGCTGTGTCAGCAGGGGCAGCATGGTGGATATAGCAACCCCCGTTAAATGTCCGAATGCCCTTCTGCCCCACACTCTTCCTAGTGAGCTTTTGGCTATGTGTTGGCACTGTATGCAGTAATTGCTGAATCCATGCTATCTCAATGCATGTCAGCCAAGATTTGGACACACTGTGTCCATTGTAGCTTGCATTATTAGCATTGCTTGCCTAAGAGCATTGTGACCAAAAGTTGATAAGGAAAATGAAGATGAATCTTAGAAAGGTGAAGTAAGTGGCCCCTAGTTACATAGCCTCAAGTGTCCAGAAGTTGGATGGGGTCTGACCATACTGCAGCCCCACTGTAGGGACTTACAGCAGTGTCCTTGTGATCCCATTTACCTGGTCCCCTAGTTCTGGCCTCACTGTGCGCTCTGAGGGGGAACTTTGGAGTTGAGGGGAGAAAGCTTGCTCCTGCCTGTGGGCTATTCCCCTGGCACCCCTACGTGCCCCCATAGCCAGGGTGGGCTATGCCTCCTTCCCAGCAAGCCTCAGCTTCTTAGAAGCACCCCCCCACCTTCCTTCACAGTGATACAACCACCAAGAATAGTCCATCCTACTTAGTAAGTTCTCAAACCGAAATTCTTGGCCACCACCCCATCTCTCACCTGGGTTCAGTGCCTCGCCCATTTTCCTAGCTGCCAGGGTGAGCTATTAAACTAAATCACATCCTCTTTCCCCTCTGCTTGGAATTTGTTCCTTGGTGCCCACTATTTATGGAATGGAATCCCATTTCCTGCTTTGTGACTCCCTCCCTACCTCTGCCTTTGAGCACTCCAAATGGCAACTGTATCAATCTATTCCTCCCACTTGGGCCTCCTCTCCTTCTCTTCCTATCTTGTGTACTGCTCTTCTGTTTGGTCCCCAGCTTATGAACTATTAAAGTGTTAGAAAAAACAAAAACCAACCCACTGTCGAGTTGATACGGTCCTTAATTATTCACATCTCCCTGCGGGATTGGCTCTGAATTTTCTTGGGTCCCAAGAGCCTGACTCACAGTAGGCACGCTGTAAATCTTTCCCACATGCTGCTACTATTTTGATTCCCTTTTGTTCTTACCACAACCCTCTGGATGTGCTATTGTTGTTATCATTTTATAGAGGGGACAAAGTTCTCAGGAGGGGAGAACTTGGTAAGTAAGGTCTTGAAGCCACATATACGAGAGTGGTTTTCATACCCATGCTTCCAAACAACCCCTCTCAATGTCACTTTGAGGGTCTCTGAGGGGGTACTGACAAGAGACTTGGCACATCCAAGAAGCCCTCCTCAGCTGCACCCTGTATTTCTGCAAGGCCACCTAGCCTGCCCCTCCTTTGTCCCACTTCCTCTCTGCTCTTTGCAATCCACTCCAGCCACCATTGCCTCCTTGCTGTTGCCCAACACTTCAGGCTCCTTCTCCTCCCAGGCCTTGGCTGTGTCCTCTGCCCAGAACACTGTCCAGATGTCTCCATGGCTCCCCTCAATACCTCCTTCAAGTTTTGGCCTGTCACCTTTTCAGTGAGGCCCACCTGGCCACCCCCTTCAACATCTCACCCCTGTGCCCCCCTCTCCCCGCGCCCCCCAAGTTTCCAGTCCCCCTCACTCTCCTCTACTTTTTCTTTCTCACTCACTACCTTCTAACATACGAGATAATTGATTAATTTACTACGTTTTGGTTTATTGCTGTCTCTCCCCTACTAAACTAAAATGTAAATTCCAAGAGGGCAGGGATCTTGGCTGCGTTCGTGTTGCAGCCCCAACACTTAGCGCCGAGCATGGCCCGCAGGAAGTGCCTAGTAACTTGGTGTTGAATTAGAGAGCAGGGCTCAGCGTCATTAGGAGCTGGGAGGGTCATTACTGGGGTGATCTAGTCCTTAGGGATCTCCAGCCTCCCTGCCCAGTGGCCGGCTGGCCGGACTCACCTCTGTCGGGTGTTCTTTCTGAAAGTCGTGACCTCACTCCTGGCCAACGCCTTAGGTCTTTGGCAGGCGGTTCCGCCCCTTTCCCCTCCCACAGAGGGGCTGGGCTTCGGGAGGTGGAGACGCCGCCTGGCGCCTGGCGGCTGAGGCATTTTCTCTTTGCTCCACCCTCAGCCCTCTGTTGCCGGGGCGGCTGTGACCTGCTCGGTGCCAGGCGCTGGGCTGCTCAGGAAGGTTTGCTGCAAGGATGAATCAGGATGGATAGATAGCCTAGCACCATGTACCAGATACTGAACCTTTGTCTTTCTCTCGCTTTTCCTGCCTGTCTGGCCCAAGCCTCCTAGAGCCTAATGTAATACGCTCTGAATAATGAAACAGGACACTCCCCCACCAGTAGTCTAGAGGAAAAAAAATACAAAACTAAACCTGTTGCTCTGGAGTACATTCTGACTCATAGTGACTCTGTAGGACAGATTAGAACTTCATCATAGGGTTTCCAAGGCTGTACATATTTAAAGACACAGATTGCCACATCTTTCTTCTTGCAGAGTGGCTGGTAGATTGGAACTGAGCGCTTTAGATTAACAGCCTTTGAGTGCTTAACCACTGTGCTACTAGGAGTCGAGACCTACTAACAAATCCAGAAAGTAACTCTGAGTTACCTCACCTTTCTTAGCTTCCCTTCCATTATCTATACAATATCTCTGTGTCTTAGTTTCCTAGTGCTGTCGTAAGACAAATACAACAACTGGGTGGCTTTAAAGAACAGAAATTTACATTCTCACAGTTCAGGAGTCTAGAAGTTGGAATTGAGGTCACGGCTCTGAGAGAAGGGGGCTTTCTTATCTGTTTCGGCTTCAAGTATCTGCCAGCAATCCTTGTGGTTGCATCTATCTGGTCATTTATCTTCCTCTTCTCCCAGTGTGTGTCTCTGTGTCCATTCTGCTTTTTATGATTAAGAAGTGATTAGATTTAGAACCTGCTGTACTGGGTATGATCTAATAAGTAACAAAGAAATGCTATTTCCAAACAGGATCACATCCACAGATACAGGGTTATAATTCCACTATATATTTTTTGGGGACACAATGTAATCCATAACACCTTGCTTCCTTCCACTCCATTGCCCGAGTAATAACCGGTGTAGTGGGTAAGGCATGTGGCTGCTAACCAGGTCAGTGGTTCAAACCCACCAGCCACTTCACGGAAGGAAGATGGGGCGATCTACTTCCATAAAGATTTACAGCCTCGGAAACCCAATGGGGTCGCTGTGAGTCAGAAGCTACTCGGCAATGTGTTTGGTTTGGTTATTTTTGTCTATAACTCACAGGGTATAAAGCCCCAAGCTTTTTATTATTGTTATTTAAACTTTTTATTTGTGATTTGAATGAAAGTTTACAGAGCAAATTGGTTTTCCATTCGACAATTCATATGAATTTTGTTTTGACATTGATTCCAATCTCCACAATATAATGTCACTCTTCGCACTTTCTCCCTGTGTTTCCCATTTCCATTTGTCCTTCTATCCCTTCCTGCCTGCCTTGGGCAAAAGCTGCTCTTTTGATCTTGTATGGTTGATTGTTTCAAGGACTGTGTACCTCTCTAGTGTTATTGTTCACCTTATTGCTTGGCTAAAAGTTGAGCCACTGGGATGAGTTCAGTTCCAGACTGGAAGGGTGACTAAGGGCCACCCTCTTAGGATTCTACCAGAAGAGTAAGCCTGTTTGTTTATGTTTTAAAAATGGTTTTGAGGCATGATCCACATTTTTCTCCCAAACTACCCAGAACCTTCTATTGTGATCACTTTCAGAGCTTTTGGTTGTGGTAGCTGGACACCATCTTGTGGTCTTAGGGTTGAGGAGGCTGAGGTTGATGTGCTCCATTATTCCATTGGACTGTTTACTTCCATGCGTCTTTGATTTTCTGTACTCTCCTTTGCTTCAGAGGAGAGACCAATAGTTGCACCTTAGATGGCTGCTTGCTAGCTTTCAAGACCCCAGTTACTACTCACCACAGTAGGCTGTGTAACATTGTCTTTGTAAACTACATTAGCTTCTCCCAAGTCTGTGGTCCTGAGCCCAAAAGTGATTTATTATCTCAAAGTGTTTGGTTATGACTAAGAAGTTTTCATAACTTTGCCCTTTGATTACTCTACTATATACATGGATATAGTTACAGCACATACAAATATGTATGTAGAAATATCCTCTGCCAAACCTATATATGGTTGTGCGTATAGTCCCATTTGCCTACCCGGTAGTTTTCAGCTTGCTTGTCTCTGTATATCCACTTGTAGATTATTGTTATTACTGATATTGCATAATTGTGTATGTAGAATGTCCCAAGCTTTTATAACTTGAGTTTGTTACTGTTTTCTTGGTTCCTCACAACAGTTTCTAATCTTCAGGAGTGATGATTAATGGTAGAATTTCCTATTCTTGGTAGTGTGGGTGAGATATTTATGAGCAGCCTGTAAAACCTTAAGGGGCTCTGGTGGCGTAGTGCCTAAGGCATTTGACTGCTAACCAGGAGGCTGGTGGTTCACACCCAGCAGCCACTCCTCAGAAGGAAGGTTGGGCAGTCTACTTCCATAGTGATACTGCCTCAGAAACCCAAGGAGGGGTTGCTATGAGTCAGATCCGACTCAACGGCAGTGGGTTTGGTTTTTTGGGTTTGTAAAACTTTATGTTTTATAGGATGCATCTGTTCATCCACTCATCCAATACATATATTTTGAGTGCCCACACAATCTAAGTGCTGGGTATAGCAGGACGCAAAACTGTACTAGATACTTGCCCTTGGGAAGCTTCCAGACTTGGGGAGAAGGGTGGTGGTGTACTGGTTTGGAGACAGACAACCGAAATAGGAATGAGTAGGAAAACCTGGAAGGAAGGCTCATGAGCACTTCTAATGAATTTAGAACTGTTTTTGAGTCAAAAATCATCTGGGCCTCTCTTCCTAGATCGCCCCCTCCA